CCTCCTCCTCCTTCTCTTCCTCCTCCTCTTTTTCTTTTTCCTCCTCTTCCTCTTCCTTCGTCCTCTTCTTCATCCTCTTCTCTTTTTAGAGCATATATACTACAGTCTTTGGTTTTCATCTTTGTATCTTTATATTTTTAAAAAGAACAAACTGTACAATCTTCATTCATCCTTTCAGGGGGATAAATATTCAGCTGATCTATGCTCCCTTTTTCATAACATCCAGTAAAACACATTTTTAGGCAGATGCAGAGTTGCTCCTGTCAGTTTAACTGATTAGTATTGTTTTCTCTTGTTTAATGTGCCACAGGTTTAAGCTCTGTAGAATATGTTTTTCCTGTGAATGTTTGAAGAAAGTTCTAAGTTTTCCAGCCTCAGGGCTATTGTGCTTTGTCCCAGGGGCCCCAGGTTGGAAAGGCCAGTCAGGAGACATGGGGCCTCCTGGACCAGCTGGGATGAAGGGCCTCCCTGGCATCCCAGGCCTCCCAGGAGCAGATGGTTTCCAAGGGCCTCCTGGGACTCCAGGCCCCACTGGAGACGATGGCCCACCTGGCCTTCCAGGCCCAAAGGGTGAGTAGAGCTCTCCCAGTAAATCTCCCAAATTCATCAACTCCAACTCAAGTGCCACACGAAACTTCGTAGGCAAGACTTACACTAACAGAATGTGTTCGTTAGCTTAGCTTGGCCCTGCTCTTTTTTTCTCCGCGTTAGCCTTTCTAGTGACAGAATGTTCTGACTTGGGTAAGTTGAGAAAAAGCCTGGGGACGTGTTGGGGTTCACAGGAAGAGGCACCCCAGCTGACAGGACCAGGCAGTACCGATGATATCACTAGGTCAGGGATAACACATTTCATTTCGGATGGGCCCTCCCTCTACCCTTGTCCTTTCTCTTGGTGCTCTCAAAACATGGTGGGCTCCGCCCCCCCAGAACAACAGTGCAGTGCGTGGACATTAGGTCTATAGACCAGCGAAATAGGAGTGGGTGGAAGAACACGGATGTTTGAGACCAGAGTCAGACTCAAATTAATGACTTACTTTCAGCATACAATGTTGGGCAGAATTTATATCACTGGATGACCAGGGACCTGAAAGAACCACACTAGCCTCAAAGTGCTTCCCTAAAACTCCATGTTCTCATTTGACCAGGACACCCAGGGCCGCCTGGCTACCGTGGTTTTCCAGGAGAGAGAGGAAGGTCAGGCCCAGATGGACAACCTGGAAGAAAGGGAGAAATTGGAGAGAAGGGCTGGCCTGGCTCCCAGGGAGACGTGGGAGAGAAAGGTGCCAAAGGCAAGTGGGTTTAACAGCACTGGGGTGGAGGACTGTATGAGCCTGTTCCAGTGTTTGGTTAAATGTTATTCATGTGTCTCTGGATTTCTTTGGTTCTATGGTGTCTTAGGAATTCATTTTCCTTGCCTTGCAATCTTGTCACATATAACTAAGGTAAATGAATACTCGCATGTCAGAGATGCTAACAACAGGTCCTTAATGCATTGATTTATAAACACGGGGCTTCAGAGACCTTACTCTCCAGGTGGTCACTCTCTGTAAGATGTTTCAGGCTTTGGAGGCCAAATGACCTCTGCCACAACAAAACACCTTGACCTTGGCACACGAAACCACGAGGGTCAACGCACAACCAAGATAAAATTGAAAGTTGCAACAAAATTTCAGTTGTGGACAATGAAATTTGATTTGTATATAATTTTCATAAAATATTGTTCAGGGTTTCAAATTTTGAATCCTGCTCCCCTTAACCATTTACAGCATAGATGCTTTCTTTGGTCTCTGAGCTGCTGCAAGAGAGAAAGTAGCGTTTCTAGCAATAAAATCAATGCTTGAAAGTCTTTGGAAGGAGTTTTCAACTCTTCAAGCTCTCTGGCAAAATGGCCTCCAGTTTTATTCAAATGACCCTTTCTTCTCATTGTTTTTTGATTCTGTCGTTATTTTTTTGTTTGCTTGTTTTATTAGCTTATAAACTATTTACACAGAATTAAGGAATTTAACATGATAAGGATCAAAAATCTCTTTGCTATGTAAGACAATTGACATTTGCAGGTGCTTCGGGTCACACTATTAGTCACTCCACAAAGAATTAATTAGATCAAGGCTAATGCTGCACTTGTAAACACCCCCAAAATGAATGTTCTCTGAGGAAAATCCCCCCCACAGTGCTTGCCAATTATCACTGTATAAATACGTCCCTGGCACCCATAAACACTCTCACTACTGCTAATAATAATAATAATAATAATAATTACTAATAATAATAATTACTAATGCTGTAGCCACAGATTCACAGAATTCCCTTTTAACCAGACCCTCCCATCACATTGGGCTACTAAGCCAGTCTCAGCAGTGCTTGGGCACGACAGTGTTTCCAGATAAGCTGGGGTGTGTGACCCAGTTCCCACTTTTTGGAAGTCCCAATGTGGAGAACCAGATTGAAATATGTGTTTGTCCTTTTAACGTATGGAGCAGGGAAAGAAGGGTTGTGAGGTAGAAAGGTACGGGCCACTGGACTCGTGTGTGGATGATCCAGCTTCTATAGAATAAGCAAACAGTCTTCGTGGACGATGACATTACAAATGTCTTAACTCACAGAGGATCCTGGGATATTTGGGATAAATATAGCAGATTTACCGAGTGTACCAAATGCATCCCGGTCCCAAGGGTGGACAAGTGGTGACCAGCGGGGAATTTTCAGTCCCTGGGACTGATACTGAGGGAGCCGTGAATACAGATTAGTGGGGGTAGGTGGGCTTTATAAAGGAGGTGACATGCCATGGAAGATGAGTTACATGTGCAGCGTGCATGTGTTTGTGTTTCTCTCATATAAATAACATTTACAGGAGACAGAGGACCTCCCGGTGATGCAGGAGAAACAGTCATCATTTCCAGAAAGGGGGAGCCTGGGGAAACTGGGCAGCCAGGAGATGATGGGTTCCCAGGACCGAGAGGTAAATGCTTGAGGTTTTTCAACCTTATCAAATAAGTTGGCATTTTATAGATCATTCAGGCAAGCCAGTATGTTAGGCAACTTACCCACTAATAAGAAAGTAGGAAAGGTCATTTCTTAAATGTAATTACACTCTGCCAGCTTTTCCAGTAACATGTTGGCTTTTCCACGCTAAAAATAGTTGGAGTTGATATGTATTTGTAGATGTGGATCTTCCACACTGGGATCAAGACAAGGTACACATAAATTACTGCCTCCAGGCTTAAACCCCCTCCATTTGGGAAAGCAGACATGAATATCTGGGGCTGCCTGTGTCATTTTGACCAATCTCTCTCAAACTAGAGTGTGTATATAAATCCCCCTAGGGATCTTGTTTAAACCCCAGATCCTGAATCTACAGATCTGGGCTTACCAGGGACCATATTTTTCTAAAAAGCACCCTGATGACATGCTGCTAGTCCTCTGAAACATGGCAGGGTAAGGATTTTTGTCAACTGAATTTGTTTTCTTTCTCAAGTTCAGGGTTAATCTGCTTGGGTTATGTCCTGGGTTTCTGTTTAGCTAGCCATTAGGAGAAAGTGTTTTAACTTCTCTGGGTTGAATTCTTCTTTGTTTGTAAGGTGTATATCCTGTAGCAAATGACCTTGCCTGGTCCCTCCTTCTACCCATGGCTTCCTCTCTATTTCTGGCAGCTCCTTTCATAGTGAGGCTGCCAAAGACAGAAACCACAAAGATGTGGTTTTGAACAGACGCCAGCACCCCCAGTTTCATTGTCTTCATCTTTTACAAGTGGAACCGAGGCATTCAATATTATCTCCACTTAGTCTAAGATTTCAGCCAAGGGATTTGTAACACTTCCGACCTCAACAGGTGATAAAGGAAGCCCAGGGATGCAAGGGGGAAGAGGAGATCCCGGAAGAGATGGAGTACCTGGATTGCACAGAGGACTGCCTGGGTTAAATGGGCCTCCTGGGCCTCCAGGCCCCCCTGGCCCTCCAGGCTCACCTGGATTAAGGGGAGTCATTGGCTTTCCAGGATTTCCAGGTGACCAGGTGAGGAGCTGCCCCTATAAGAGGGAAGAAATAATCTCTTTCTCTTTCTGCTCTCGGGATCTCACAAAAATTCATAATTTGCCAGTACGTGCCCTTGTCATTTACGATTATTTGAGATTAAGAGGTAGCACGAAGATAAAAGGAACCTTCCAGAAGCTTATGACATAACTGAAATTTCCAGCCAGTGCTCAGAACTGGCTGTCCTGCTGTAGATGAGCAAGTCATGTGATTCACATATTCCAGCCCAGGTTTAAATAACTTGTAGAGACTTGCCTCTTGACTGATGCTTTATTGGGGAAAAAAAATCCTGGACTCTACCCAAATTCTGCTTTCCAAGCCTTCCCATCTGTTTGAAGATTGTATGTATTTCACTTTAAATGTACTTGGCCTTCGTAATCATAAGTAACATTCCTCTTGAGAAACCAAAAAAATATAATAAAGTAGCTTGTAACACACTTCTGGAAAATGTATAAAGTGGTTGGCTTTCCATCTTTTGGAATAAAATGGATCTTTAAAATTTATGCTACAGCACTACTTTCAATATTTTATTTTATGTCAACTGGTTTGATCAAACTGTAAATTCAAATAGTAGGACACGGTTACCCTTTGGTAATCATTTATATACAATTCTATGATTCTTGCTGGGATGGATAGCTCTAATTCTGAAGGAGTTTTACCAGCTTGTAAAACACAGACACAGTAAGCAATATTTCAAGCATTTTCCTTACCATTGTCAATCACAAACACCAAGTTGGCTGCAGAAAACCGCAGCATGTTTGTGCCGTTGCGTGGAAAACCCAACTAGGGTCTTATTTTTGTTCCATTAATTACCAGGGTGATCCAGGTTCTCCAGGTTCCCCTGGATTTTCAGGAGATGATGGAGCAAGAGGACCTAAAGGTATGACTTAGAACATGTTCACAGCTGTCAGGCTCAGAGTTCTGGGTGTTGTAACCCTGCGAGTAAACATCTTTTCAAGGATGAGGTGCATCACACTAGTTAGAATGCAGCAGCAACTCTTCCCAACAGAGGAACACTGAAGTTTCGATGGGCTCTCATTTTCCACCCAGGGCCAAAGGCCCCTAGATGGGATGCCTGAAGGCTCATCATGAGCCTTCCTCTCTGTGAAAGTCTAAGAAGCTGTCCATGTAGACCACTTCTCCGGTTGCATCCGGTGCAACCGGCCAAATCCTCATTTCTAGAGAGTGTCCACTTTGACTCAGAAACCCTGTGCTCCATAGGAACCAGCCACTCATTTGCAGATTTCCTCTGTTCAGTTATTGGGATTCTACTTGTAAGAATCACAGAACATGGATCCCCACCAGATATTAATTATTTACTTAATAATTTTCAAGCCAGATGTAACATATACTCGAATTATTTTTACCTTTAATTAAAGATAAAAAAGTTTCTTTTCTCTAAAGCGTCATAAGTTATTTCTTTTTCACGTTGTGGGGCATAGTTTCAGCCACAACTACTCAGCGACATTCCAATAAAACTTTATTTGTAAGCCTACCTTGTGCTCATAACTATATGGCCTTGTAAATGCAACTTAAATTGTACTCTTAACAAGTCAAGATCCTTTAAAAAAAAAGAGAGAGAAGTTTTATTTACTTTTTGGACAGACAAACAAACAAATATACTGAAGTTATAATAGCTTAAATGTTTTCAGACAACATTGAGAGATTTGACTGTCTTGGTAACCCCTATAGGCACCAGACATTTACGGGGCATACACACACACACACATGCAGGCCAAACACTCATACACATGGCGTCAATCTTTTAAAAATCATAAATCACATCTTCCATTTATATTTCTATTGTTCTTCATTAGGATCAAACATAGTTTTTAAAAAGTCCCCAGGAAAACCTGAAGCGAGATTGTGAAGACAAACACCATGGAAGTTACTTATATGAAGACTAATAATATTTTTCTAACTAATGCTCTTGGTATTGTATCACTCACAGGAAGCAAAGGCGACCCTGCCAGTCAGCGTGGTCCATCTGGTCTGAAGGGTGAGCCAGGTAGTCCTGGATACCAAGGTATAGATGCACATTTTTCCTACTCTAAGAAAGAAGACTTAATTTGAAACACAATGTAATTACTTTTACAGTGATCACTGGGAATTAGCCTATCAATATTTTCTTTACCATTTGCCCATTAATGTATATGTATCAAAACAATTCTGTGTGGCATATCTCACCCAGAAGTATATCAGGACCAGGCTCTAGGAGCCCTCAATGTATCCCTACAATGGCTCCTGTGACCAATAGCATCGGCACAGCAACACACTCCCTTCTGCCTACTCATATTGGATATTCAAAGTGAATATTCCACAAATTAAAATTCAGACTATTTTGCCACCTCTGTCATTTAAAATGGTGAAAGTTATACTGGAATCCATTCTCCCACTGATAGCAAGGAGCACACAGGTAAACAAGGTAGGTTGAAATTTGCACTTTGGTTTGGACCCTGTAGAAAAAATGCACCAATATTTAAAATATGCTTGCTTTTTAACACAGGAATTCTTCTGCTATGAGCATATCTGAAGCTAATAATCAGGAGAGTGCAAAAGATACACGCACAGGCGTATACACTGTATGGACAGAGTGAACAGCCACCTATGGGTGGCTGGTTAAGTCACTTTGCCCAAGTGTAATCAGTCAGTGATGGTTAGACTTAAATCTAGGCTTGGCTTCACATAGTTTCCCTGTAAACTAAGACTTTGTATTTAGAATGCCATTGTCAAATTTTGCTTTCTATTGCTGTGAAAAGTGCCATGACCAAAAGTAACTTCAAGAGAAAAGGGTTTATTTCATCTTATGATTTGTAGTCCAACATGAAAATAAGTCAGGGCAGGAACTCAAGGCAGGAATCTGGATGCAGGAAGCAAAGCAAAAGCTACAGAGGAACGCTACTTACTGGCTTTCTTCCCATGGTTTGTTCAACCTACTTTCTTACACAACTCAGGGCTACCTGCCCAGGAGTAGCACCACTCACAGTGGCCTGGTCCCTCCCACATCAATCATCAATCAAGAAAATGCCCCCACAGACTTGTCTACAAGGACAATCTGATGCAGACTTTTTCTCAATTGAACTTCCCTCTTCCCAGATGACCCCAAAACTAACCAGGACATCCATGCATCACCTTGAAGTTCCATTTGTCAGGAGCTCTGTTCTGTTTTCCAAAATAGACTGTCTGATGAGAACATCAAATCAAAGTCGATTGTGCACTGAAAACTCCACACACAGCGTCAGCTCTGGTGACTTCACTATTGTGAAGTCAGCCAAACAGTAAGATGTGTTCTTGTGTCAGAAACTCTGAAGACAAAATCTCCAGGCTCAAAGTAGCACAGATGGCACAAATGAGGGCCATTTTACGTGGCCTTGTATTTAAAGTTGAAGACCCTAAATCTAAGGTTAATTCATACTGAATCAAGTTTTCCCAGACAATATGCCTTGCCCCGCTTGACCTGGTGTCCTGCGGTCATCAGTGTTTAAATTGCTCTGGTTTCTTATTTGCTATGGCTTCAACTTAGAGTGTTAAAAATTGGTTCTGTTATTCATCAGCCCAGAGTTTGGATACGCTGTTTTCCTTGGCTAGGAATCCTCGCACTGCCCTAGAGTGACCACCATGAGGATGTATAGAGAGTAGCTAGTCCAGGATTATGTAAGATTGTACTGGGTCAACTCTAACCCCATCCGTGCACTTCATCTCCAAGGGAAATACAGTTCAAATTATTCCTGAAGTTCTGTTCTCAACACAAGTGTAACTTTGGGGTGCAGTTTTGAATACATGCTAGACCTGACAATGATGATGCCATGGGTCCCTTGCAGGAAGGTGTTTGGGATCAATCAGAATGCACAGAGCAGGGCTATGGGATAGTACATTCGATCCGTCAGCAGGCACAGGCATCAGTTGGTTCAGTGCTGTAACGAACGCTATCCTGCTATGGCTTTGGAAATGCAAAGGTGTATATTTTATTTGAAGATTCAGCCATCGATTTTTCAGCGTAGACTATTGGTTCACTATAAATTTCAAAGTTATACATGTAAATAAGCATATGGGGAAATAGCCATCTTTCTAGTAATAAAATAAATACAACTTAAAGTGCAATCAGCGATCTCTAGGGGAATAAAATCAATGGATTATATATTATTACACTGTAACAATACCCATGCATTATGTAATAATATTATATTACAAAAAAGGATTTATTTGATTGGCTTACACAGGAGAGTGTGGGCAGTCTGGCTACCTGATCATTGGAGGGTCTGAGAATTCAGTAGCTTCTCAATCTATTACGCTAGCGGTCTCAGCAGTCCAGATGCGACACTGAAGGCCTAGAGAATGCTTGAGGCAAGAACCACTCTGCATCTGCCCTGCACACTCAGTTGAAGAGGAAGACTCTTCCTGATAGGGGAGGCCTGGTAGAACCTCCAGGGTAGTTGTAAATGACCAAAAACAGGGTTAGCAAATGACCCCTCCAGCAGGTCCAGGTATTCAGGGTCTGTAGAGGTTCTACCTGTAAGAATCATGAGCGAGAGAAAAGAAGGAGACCAAGCAGAATTCAACTGTCAAGGTCTCACTTTATTAGGGTAATGGTTACAGCGTATATAGCCCTTGAATGAGGAACTTGGCTTGGGGTGGGCGGTAGGGGTAAGAAGGAACTTGGCGGGGTAGCAAAGGTCACCAGTCAGCATACCTGGTGTTTTTCGTGTAAGCGAAAACATTTTTTTGTGGTTCCATTAACAAACAGTTCTCAAGATAGTTGGGATGTGGGGCTCTCTGCAAACATCCTTAGGACAATGGTCCCTGCTATCACCTTTAGGACAATGGTCCCTGATAAGCAACCCAAAGTCTTCAGTGAGCACATGGCTCATTCTCAGGGTGCTGTTTGTAGGACTGTGGGAAGGTGGCACGTGGGTGGTGGCTGCAGGTGCAGTACCTTCTTCCAAACACAGGTAACCTGTCAAAAACCAAGTGCTGAACGGCCTGTTCTAGGAGGCATAGAGGGCAGCCAACATCTTCTCTGTGGGAAGTTACGGTCATGAGAAATGGACTGTTAGAGACTTTAATTTTTTTATCTTTTAGTATTTTAATTTAAGAGGCCCATTGAGCACAATGTGCAGAATTGTGAGGTGTAGAATTTCGTGAGGGTTGCTACAAGCACAACAGGGCAGGAGTGGACTTGTGTTTGTAGTGAGCCTTAGATGGTCTTTGAGACTGATTATTAATTATCTTGGCTGCCACAATGTTATTTCAGCAACATAGGAAGATTTATTTTTCAGGTAGACCTCCTGAAGCATTTCGGGATGGAATTCCACAATGGTTATGTTTTACTTTAAAATCCTTTAGAATTTAAAAATGTATTTTAGAAAAACCCAAATATCGCACTATTTACCAAGAAATTCTGTGCCTGAGATATTTTTCCTAAGGAAATAGTTCAAAAGGAGAGAACATGGTTAAAGATCTATAAAAGAGAGTGGGGGTGGGAAGTGGGTTCGTATGATCAAAGCATCCACCTGGGAAATTGTCAAAGAATAAATAAAAGATTATATATGTATATAAAGATCACTACGCACAAAAGCGAAAAGAATTAGAAGTACTTGCACAGCCAGCGGTAGGGGAAATTAGATTGATTAGTTTAAATAAAATTGAATCAAGAAGTTATTTGCAAATGATAAACTATGACAAGCTTGGAAAACTGCTTGTGATACAATACTAGTTTTAGAAAGAGAAAACAAAATTGTGGGGATTACTTGTATGTGGGTGTCCAGATGGAATTCTGTGGTAAGATGTGAGGAGGAATATGGGAATTTCCTCATCAAATTTTCCTCAATCATGTCTTTTTTACCAATCGAAAAGAGTTTAAACACAACAAACAAACAAACAAACAAACCACAACTGAGTGAGGCTTGAAGTTGGCTGTTAGCTGCCATTTCAAAGATCATTCTACACCTAATGGGATTTTGATCCTTCCTTTCTTCCTTCCTTCCTTCCTTAGGACATCCTGGGACCCCTGGAGAGCAAGGCTTCCCTGGAGATGATGGGCCTAGAGGACCACCGGGCAGACCTGGACAAGCTGGCTCTTCTGGACCACCAGGATATCCAGGTACCTTGCAAGAAGGCCTTGAAAATTCCTGAGCATTCCTGTGACTTGGTGTACTGGAAAGAGTGGTTCTTCACTTAGAGACTTCTGCTTCCCTGACCGTGGCTTCAGACAGGGCATGCACACTTACCCCTTCACTGCCCAAACCCAGTCCAGCTTCACAGGGTTACACTAACAACTTTACTCCAAGCAGTGTTGGCTAAGTGCCAGCTCTGCACCAGCCACAGAAGGTGACTGACAGAACAGGCAGGCCATTTCCTTTCATCCCTCTGTCATTTGTGAGGCTGTCTCCCTTCCCTAAAGCAATAACCCATACACAGCTCAGGGTCTTAATGATCCTTTTCCTTTCAATTCAGGAAGGAAAAAAAAAAACCAGCTAAACTCATGATTGGCAACTTCAACGGTTTTGAACTGTATCTTTCTGAAATTAAGCATTTGTCTACTTAGAGCTAAAATATCTAGAACGAAAAAGTGTCCCTGGTCTATTGAAAAGCATAGGTGGCCTTACATAGGGAATGCTACTTACGGTCATTATCTGGAAATCTTCTCTCCTGTCCCCAGGTGACCCAGGGATGCCTGGGCTGAAGGGCCACCCAGGAGAAACCGGAGACCCTGGGCCAAGAGGTTCCCCAGGAGATTTAGGGAGGCCAGGTCCTCCGGGAGTAAAAGGTAAGTAGGGAGAATACCCAGCCTTCCAGAGACCTCCAGCCCATGGGGGACAAAGCCATTGCTCCTTTCCTGGGCTTGTGGCTCTGCTTGATTGGGAATCTCTCAAGGATTCCACCACTAACACCCCCTCCTTCCACAGCTTGAGGCCATACTCATCTTTGCTTGCCTTCTTTCTTCACACTGGATCTTGGTTGCTCCCCTCCTATTGCTTCTGAGGGCCTGGTGCTTGTCTTTCTGTGCACGCCTGCCCCTTTGCCTCCACTGATAACCAAGCTCCTATTATGCCCTAGAGTCTGTGTTAGGTGTTGGGTGTCATTTTAAAGAAAATATGCATGATTCCAGCCTTCACGGAGCTATTCCTAAAAGAGCTAGGTCTGGCCTCCAATGCAAGAGCAGTTGGATTAACCGTCACTCTCCTAATAACTAACATGGGAGTCAGAGTTTCACATATGAACCCTGGGGAGACACGACCATGTCCAAACCACAGCACCAGAGCTGGCAAGCATTTGAACCCTGCGAACTGGTAAAAAAGGCATTAGGTAGTGATCTCCTATACCCCCAAAGGAGAAATTTCACAATTAAAGGCATGTTTGTCTGTATTCAGCTATTATAAATACCTTTATAATAAACAAATAAATAAAGTGAAAGCAAAACACCTTTAGAATCAGTCTTGAACTCTGTGGGTAAATTACTTGCTGGACAGAACAGATCCATTGGGTGATAAGATAGAAAGAGAACTCCCAGAGGCCCTGGGGTCACCCATCTAACCCGAGAAGGGCATGGTGGTCACACAAGGGAAGGAGGGCGGCACTCGGGTTCCCAGGTGTACTTGAACTAACAGAAATAGCTTGATAGCCATTCAGTTTTTCAGGCACTAGTTGCGATTAGAAACTTAGAATTGAGGGAATGCCCATTTCTTGAGTTACAGGATATCATAAGCACTCTCTGCCCATCACGTTTATAGAGCATATAGGGCAGGCTCCATTTTTGTAGATAAAATCAGAAGCACAACTTTTAACTTTGATAGTCCATTATGTGAAAGCAAAGCACAGTGAAAAGAATAAAAATGTTTCCAACACTGTGGGTACTGATTAAGAAAGCGTTCAGCTATAGGAGAGTGGTGGACACTGAAGGGGGAGGACTTTTAGGCGTTTGTCTGCATCAACAAACGCGTACTGATCATGGGGTGAAAAGACAAGAGGGCTTTCCAGAAAATAAACACACATAGGATTCTATTTGCTTTCTGTGTCAGATAGAGAAACACTTGCCTTGACTGCAGTTTTTGGCTTTTAAAGTTAACAGTGGTCTGATTATTTGTCTGGATATAATATAACAAGGTACATCACAGAATACTCACTATTCACAAATATTCATGGGTAGGCGGAGTTTGTCATCAGTATTGTGACCAGTTTGATTTCCAAATAACCGACACAGGGACAATATAAATTACAAATGCTTGGCTAATAGTTCAGGCTTATTACTAACTAGCTCTGGCAACTTAAATTAACCCATTTCTATTAATCTATGTGTTGCCAAGTGGCTCATGGCTTTACCTGTCCTCCAGCATGTCTTGCTCCTTCTGGTGACCTGCTCTGACTCCGCCCTTCTTTCCAGCATTCTCTCTGCCCTAAAATCCTGCCTAGCTATCAGCCAATTCGCTTTTAATTATCAATGAGAGCAACACGTTTTCACGATGTACAGAAGGATTATTCCACAGCATTCATGTTCTTAATTCATCTGTCTCCTGCCCTCTCATTGGTCCGCTTCTCCTGTTCTAGACAAACGCTTTGTCTGTGAGCTCTGTGTATACCTCTAGCACAAACCTGCAGAGGACTTTCTTACCAACAGACTATGATTTTTTTTTAAAAAAAAAAAGACCTTTTTTTTAAAAAAATGTCTTTGGTATCAGTTGATACACAATAAATTTTTTGGTTGGTGAATTAGTAGTTAGAAAGTAGGGGGTCTATAGTTCAAACAGCAGGTGAGGGCCAAGTTTTCCTCTGCACACCCTGGTAAGTTACGTCTCTCTGGCTCCATTTTCCTTCCTTTGGTCCCAGCTGTCTGCAGGTCAGTGGCTTATACACATGAATTAAACGCTAGTCAAAATGAAAGGACTTCCTCCAAGAAGAGTTAGAAACCACTCCTGGAATTAAACGCTTTGCTGGTTTGAAAATCCAAATTCTGCTTTTTCTCATCCTTTCTGCTCTTCACTCCTCAGCTATCCGAGACCTGCAGGGTTTCACAAGCAGCAGCGCAGGGTGTGTTTCTTGGTGCAATGCTGCAGACAGGGGAAGTTCTCCTTTGGAAATTTCCGGCACACTCAAGCATTTGCTGGCAACCAGATAACATACTAGGAAAAGCTCTTGCTAGGGCGTCCAATCTCTTGGTATCGTCTCCGTCTCCGCTGACATGTGTAGTAATGTGAAAACCAGAAGTGTGACAGCTTTACTGTTCCACACGAAATGATGAGGCCGTGGTTCTGAGCTTTTCCTCTGGTTGGTGCTTGTGGACACTTCCTGCCTCTGGCAACCCTTGCAGATCTCCTGGCCTCTTCTTTGGCATCAACATTCTTCCAGTCTGGAAGGACTTGCTGGGGATCCAAGAGAAAACATTTACCATTGTTAAGGGCTCTCCCTCCATGGCCTTTCAATTCCACACAACAGGGAGCATGTCTGAGTGCCTGCAGGTGGCTGTAATATGTTCTTTCTTCCTTTTTGAACATTTATCAAATACCTTCAGTATGACATCGCTTCAAAAAAAAAAAAAAAACACACCAAAACAACTAATGGGTGTGAACTTGGTTCATAATAAAATTCCTTTAAAGAAGTTGCCAATTTCCACCCAATGTGCACTGAGAGACTTTGGGAGGAAACAGATCAAGGGGCATTTACTCCCTCTGCAGACCCTTGCTGCAGTGCCTCATTGCTACCACTCGGGGACGCTGTTTCATTGCACAGGACACAGTAAATGATCCAGCCAAATGGAACAAAACAAAACAGTGGGATACATTGTTAAAACTCAAAACATCTCAGCATAAATCCATTGTTGCGGGTTTTTTGTATTGATGTAAAAAATGAAGCAGGATCCAGCAGAAACACTTTGAGCAGAGAAACTAAATATTTGAAATATGTTCTGAGTGAGGCAGGGGAACCAGCTCTCTTCTTTGAACAAACCAGCTGCTGAACTCTGATTTGTTTGCTCTGTGTACACAGACCCTATGGAATTTTGAGTCCTGCTTGTATCCAGTCAGAATTAAACGTTAACTTAGACACACGATACAATCAGCGTGATCGCTGGCTCCTAACTACGTGCTTTCTCTAAAAGGGAAACACGCCATTCTCATTGTACATCCACACAACACAAGGAGGATGAAAACCTACTGAGAGTTATCTGCTGTGTGGCCATGGCTGGTAGCGAGCAACATACTTCACTTTTCTGTTTGTGGAGAGGGGTGTGTATCCGTGTCCGTCTGCCCTTGTGCCTGCGTGCGGGTGGAGATCAGAGGTCAGAGGTGTCTTCCTTGGCTGTTTTCCACCTATTTATTTATTTATTTATTTTGAGGCAGTGTCTTTCACTCTCATAGACTATGCTTTTTTTTTTTTTGTAACCAAGATCTTTTTTTAAAAAAAGTTCTTCTACCCAGGTGATTCCAGCTTGTGTCAGGTTGACAAAACTAACTGGGAGACTCGCTGAACCAGGAACTCAGTGAGTGATAGACTGGACCACTGCTGGCCTCAGGGAGCATTAGATTGGACCATAGCTGGCCAATGAGCTATAGGGATCAACCTGTCTCAGCTCCCACAGTGCTGGGGTTACAAATATGCACCCAGATTTTTTTAAACATATAAGCCCTGGGGATGAAATACAGGCCTTCATCCTTAGCACTGCATTGACTGAGCCATTTTCCTGGCCCCAGGAGTTCACTTTTGGAAGGCACTATCAAATGCCTTTGATGAGAAAGAAAATGCCTTCCATCAGAGGGCCATGACAATCAGAGCAACATTCCCCCCAGCTTCTGGAACTAAATTATTCTCCCGTCTCTCACCCAGCACTTAGCAAACTAGATTTCATCGCTTCTTTGTCCTGTCAGGTCAGGGATTGTGTCTTTCTTGTGACTCATTGTCTCTTCAGTGCCTGTCATGAGCTATGCTCTTGGGAGATGGAACTCTGTGCATTAGGAAGCCATATTTATCCTTTCAGTAGGCACTCAAGTATTTGCTAGAAAAAAAATTTAATTTAATCGGATTTTAGAATCTGTTCTTGATAAGGGTTTTCAAGGCTTTTCAACCTTTGCCTATAGCTGTGAAGATTTCTCTTGTCCATCAACCTTAACGTGAGTGTGGCCAGCTGCCTCGTTTTTCTTGGGACTGTCTTAGGATGTGGATTCCAATGCTAAAGGTCCCAGACATGCAGGAGCACATTGGTCAACCCCTTAAAATGTAAACCCTGCCAGTACCTGGGAGTACAGAATAACATTTTGCTGGCTTTCCCACAAAGCTCTAACCTGGGAGTGGGGATTCTCGCACCTAGTGGACTCTCTAATACAGAGGGAAGGCACCGTGTGCTGGGGTGGAGGTTAGCTTCACTGACTGGAGCACGAGCATCCTGGTCCCTGAGTGCAGCCGGGTGCAGCCTTAAATGGTGGCTGTTAAACAGAAGGACTATCAGAGAGGTGAATAAAAAGTCCTCATTACCCAGGAATGTGCTTTGTTTGCCTAATTGCCCTTCATCTGCACTGTATATATTTTATGCATGAACAACTTTCTGATTTAGAGATGGGATTGATAAAAGCTTTCAGTCAAAGGGGGAAATTATGCTGAAAACCCTGCCCAGATGTAGCTGCATTCAATTTAGAAAGATAACATTGGGTCACGTAAGGGTCGGCCAGTTCAACAATGGCAAGGGGCTGGGCTGTGACAGCCCAGGATCTGGGTATGTTGCTGTGACAATGGAGAGTTGGCAGAGGCGAGGACAGTCCTTTAGCCAAGTCCCCTGGCCATCAATCTTGGTGGCTAACACTGGAGATCAAAACACATAGACATAGCAAAGTAGTCTCGAAAAATTTATTATCATTTTAGATAAATTACAATAAATATCCAGATTTGGCAGGCGAAGAAGGTCGCTGTGTTCTTTTGGTGCAAACTTGAAATACTGGCTCATAAAATAGGAAAGAGAACTGGAAAATAAGCTAAGCTAGGGCTGTGAAAAGCAGTTAGAAAATAAGAGATTTGGGGAAAATAAGGACACATTCCCGCCCCCCCCCCATCTTTTTTCTCGGCGCAAGAAAACATGGCTCATTGGAATCAATATGAATTTGCAGTCTTAGAAGGAGAACAGCGGTTGTCTGTTTCAAGTACCCATGATAAACAGACTGGAGTCAATAACTATGCTCTCCTCCAATCAGGGTTCTCCATGAGAACCTGCTTTACCGAACAAAGTGGAACCAGCCCTGGAATTATTTACCCATAGGAAGAGATCTCTAACTTCTGGGAATTGTATTTGTTCCACAAATATATTAGATAAAAATGTGGCAGGCAAGCAGAGTTCAAGAACTTTAGTCTATTCTTTAAACAAAGCCTTCTCTCCGTCTCTTCAACCCTCGTATGCCTTTCTTTATTTTTTACAATGAGTCAACAAACATCTGCTTGATACTTATGAGGTGTAGAAATTATGTTCCTTGTGGGATAGAAAGATTAGTAGAGTTTGGTCTTGGGGTCTGATTTACCCGTGAGCCAGGGAGGCAGCTGCCCAAAGGCATGGTTGTTGGACAGCATGGCTAAGGCAATCCATCCAAGAAGCCCTATGGAGGGACCGTGGGCGCTTCCTGTGCATTTGGTCACGTGACATCAGTGTGGTGTTGTCACGAACCAACAGAATGCTAATCTGGGCGAATGAGCTGTGTGGAAGATGGCTTCCTTCTGGGTGGCAAAGGACAGCTAGCGGATAGAAAGTCCAGCAATGAGTTAGGCGCATCATTGGATTTGGCCAAAGGCTGAGAAAGCTTCCTTCCTAGGATCACACAGTGGGACAACAAGACACACAGGACTGAGTGTGGCCGGGCTCTACACACTCGAGGGACTCTACGATATTTCTTACATCTCTGCCCCCTCAGTCCTGGTCTCAAATTCATGCTGGCCTGTTAGAAACCTCTTGTTTGAAAACATTAAACACAACCCAGCATTTACTGATGGAGAACCCTAAGAAAAACTTTCCACTGGATGTGTCTGATAGTAACTGAAGTCAAGTCAGGCTCATAGTTGTCTCCAGATAACTTAAATGCCTCTTGGTTAGTCTAATTTCATGTGTTCCGACATCAGTGGGGGCATAAGGCTTGAACTGAGAGACCACCACAAAGTCAGTTTGTTGCTGTAAGGAAGTGTCAGGGTAATTCTGAAAGGAATAGCTGCAGAGAGATAGCTAGAGCTGAGCTCGACTCACAGGTCTGACTTCCAGTGTTGTTCAGTGCCCAACCGAAAACCAAGGAGAACACCAAGGTGTGCCGTCCCCACACCGCAGCAGGAATGGTCCTGCTGTTTTGCATCATTACCGTGACTGCATCTAGAAGGAGTTAGGACCTGAACACACTGGTGGAAAGTGAAGACTCAAACTGGGAAGCACGGAGCTTGGGTTTACTGCCATCCAATCTCTATCCTTGCCTAAAGAGATTTTATCATCATCAAATCAAAGGTCACTTCCTGCACCCAAATGTGGCAATTTTAGACCATCTCCCATCATGGGTTAGTCACAAAACAAGCCAAAGAGATGTAACTGTTAAGTCTTCTTATTGGAAAAAACATCTTGAGCAAATGTTGGTGCTGAAAAGCTCTCAGGCTGGCTTCTGGTCCCTATGCTGACCTGAGATCTGTCTGCTTCCTGCCTTTGGCTCACTCTCCCCTGGTGTAGGCATCGTACTGTAACCAGACCAGGAAGACTAGTAAGCAATAGCTGGCCTAACCTTTGAGACACAGAACCTGCATTGTGTTTTCAGGGTCCCCCGGGTCTCCTGGTCTGAACGGCTTGCACGGTCTCAAGGGTGAGAAAGGAGCCAAAGGTACCTCAGGTAAGACAGATCCACTGATGATGAAACTTTGATCCATGGACCTAGGGATGGAGTAGAATCTTTCCATGGTATTTCCTCAAGTCGTGAGGACTGGGGGTGAATTGAAAAGAATGGTGGAGCAAAGAGACAGTACTAGAATTATTTCTCTATCTGTGGATGGTTGGTTTATAGGCAAAAAGACATTTAAGAAAACTTGATTAAAAGGAGTGGCAGTTAATACTTTTCATGTTGTTGCTTAGGTCTGTTAACTGAATACTCTGAATTCTTGTGAAATGGGACCAGATTTCAAGATGTTATTTAAAAAAAAAAAAACAAATAATCTTGTTATTTTTTTTAAATATATATTCCTTGTTTTTTAAGTGTAGCATGGTGGGAACAGTCACACTATAATCGCAGTAATCTAATTAATAGTGTTGGCATCCCTTTACTGTGACCATCGAGAAAAACTACTTGCATCACTTCCCATGAGTTTCTTCAATATCTATTTTTATAATTCTCAATTATGTGCATCTATGTGGGGGTCATATGCATGTGAGCGCAGGTGCCGGGAGAACCCGAGTGCTTGGTTCTCCTTGGAGCTAGAGTTACAGGCAATGGTTTATGAGTGGTCCAACATGGGTGCTTTGAGCCAAATTTGGGGCCTCTGGAAAAGGAGCGGGTACTCTCAATTGCTGAGCCATCTATCTCTCCAGCTCACAACTTGGGTTATTTTTGATATCACAGACGGGTTAATCTTCAACTGCGTGTTTCAGCTTAGTCCATTAAAATATGTCTATTGTATAATTTTCCCCACTAAAATAGCCTACATCAGACATAGTAGCTGATCCCCACTTGTGAATTTGAATACTTATTTTTTTAAAAAAAGGATTTTACAACTAGGCGTGACTCTACTTTTGGAGAGAGACAGAATCTTTTTGGATTTTGGATATTCAAAAAGTAACTTAGGTCACATAAGATTTGCTACGTGGTTCTTTCAATTGGTCTTATTAAATATTCAACCCTTCCAGAAACCAAATCTCTCCCCTTTCAATGGGAAGCTTCAAATTATGGTAGACCAGTCTCCACTCAGATTTCTAAGCAATTTTCTAAGCAATTTGTTCTGAGTTATGTATAATCATCTCCTTTAATTTTTTGTTTGTTTTTGCTTTGTGAAACTGTTTCAAAACTAATATTTCTTAAAATTTAGGACAAAACCCCAAAAGAAAACAAACCTGTGGTTGGTCAGTGTGATAGGTCATAAGCAAGAAATGGGGCTCAGGAACTAGAGAATCATTGCAACCAGAGTTTGGTCCCTCGACAGAACCTACCATTTCCTCTGCCATACTGCTGCTGAGGGGTGGGTACTTTTCAGGTGACAGGGATAAATTCATAGATGCCATACTGGCGCTGTTTTTATCATTAAGGTCTGCATGAAATGGGTCCACCTGGGCCCATAGGAATGCCTGGGCTAAAGGGAGAGAGAGGTGACCCTGGGAACCCAGGAATTTCTACCCCAGGTCTTTCTGGAGAAAAAGGCCTCCCAGGACCCCCAGGTAAGAAGCAGCATGTTTTTAATCTTTCCTCGAGAACTAGTTCCAAATATTTCAGTTGTGATGAGGCTAACGGATGAACATGTGCTTCCCCAGGGAGACCAGGACCACCTGGTCGCATAGGAGCTCCAGGAAGACCTGCTAAAGGTGACATTCCCGATCCAGGTCCACCTGGAGACTGGGGACCTCCCGGCCCTGATGGCCCAAGAGGTACGACAGAAGATGGCAGTGGTTTCTTCCTTAGAAACTGCTAGTTAGATACGGATGTAGCATCTCCCTGAGAAATGCCAAAGTGGCTCTACCCACTGAGCAGATGGATTAAGTGAGATGCACCGAGCAACAGCACAGGTAGCAGTATCTCCCAGGCCCAGAACATGGCCCGCTCACTCTTTTATGTCGGCTGCAACAGACTCCCGCTGCTTGGGTACACACAGGTGGACCAAACATTTCCGTCTCTAGATGGACGATGCCTGCAGCAAGTGCCCAGCAGGAAAGAGTTGTCCTTCCTTGTTCTCTAGCACCCGCCCACAGGCCTAGAGAGCCACAGAAAGCTTCCACATGGGCCACCAGCAGTGTCTTTTGCCCCTCACTGCTGCACAGAGATGGGCCAGATTATGGAAGTCATTAGCAGATTAAAAAAAAAAAAGATAGACTAGATGGGTCAGGCTACAGGTAAAGAGCATAGGTCAGTCATGGGTTCTTCCTTGTTGATAGCCACATTCACACTGGCTCATAGAACTCTTACGTGGAGACACACACCTTAGTAAGGGTGGGATTGTATAAAAAAAATAAAAGGAGTAAAAATTGCAGAAGTTAAGTAACAATAAGTTGGGATCAGCTCACTGTTATGTATAGATATTTGTTTTAAAGTAAGATTATAATTTTGAGGGCACATTTATTTCTCCTTAGCTACATTTTCTTTCTTAAAATTTCATCCATTTATCTATCCATCTACCTACCCATTAATCCATCCAACCTTCAACCCATATACCCAGCCATTCATCTAACCATACATTTATCCACCCACCCACTAATCTCTCCAGCCAAACATCTACTCACTCACCCACCCATCTACACATACACTCATTTATTCACACACTACATGTCTATCTGTCCATTTAACCACACACCCACCTACTGTCCTTACCACCCATCCTTCCACCCACCCATCCTTCCACCCATCATCCATCCATCCATCCGTCCGTCCGTCCGTCCGTCCGTCTGTCCGTCCGTCCGTCCATCCATGCATCCATCCATTTAACCACTCACCCACCTACCCTCCTTCCCACCCAACCCTCCATTCACTCATTTATCTACCCATCCATCCAACCATCTGTCTGTGTGTCCATCTATCCATCTGTCCATTTAATCACCCATCTACTTACCCTCCCTCCCACCTATCCTTCCATCCACCCATTCATCCATCCGTTCACTAATTCATCCATCCATCCATTCATTCATCCATGTAACCAGTTTAAACAATGAGATGATTGAAGATATCAACCATTAGCTGATATTTTCCAAATGGTTCAGAAGAAATGAGGTCTATTTAGTTTAACAGTTACTAACCTAGCTTTTCTTGGCTTGGACCCCATGACATACATTTTGTATTTCACTTCTGATAATGTTGATTTTCTTATTTTTCTGATTCTCTACATGCCTTGTTTGCAAATCACTGTATTTAACTCCCTAAGACGTTCTCAAGCCACCAATATTCACCTTTGTCTTTGACTTAAAGAATGTTTTTGCCTCTTCCCTGTGTCAGGAGCACCTGGGCCTCCAGGCTCCCCAGGGAATGTCAGCCTTCTGAAAGGGGATCCAGGTGACTGTGGTTTGCCTGGACCACCTGGTTCCCGAGGCCCACCAGGCCCTCCAGGGTGTGAGGGCACCCCAGGATGTGATGGCAAAGATGGTCAGAAAGGTATGAGTGTTGGCTGTTCGTTCGGTAGTGTGTGAAGACCTTCTTTACCTTACCCTAAGGGTCTGAAGTACTGTCTTCCCTCACATGAGGTCATTCCTATTTCTTCTGTAAACAATTATGTCATTTCTAAGATGTCCTGGCTGCCTCTAAAAAGTCCTCAAGCTGGAATAAAAATTGAAAGACAGACACACGGGCCAGAATTGGTAGAATGTCCCAGGTTGGATGCCTAGCATGTCAGACTGGGTGGTGGAACTCTCTTGTAATCCCAACACTTGGGAGGTAGAAGCAGGAGGATCTGGAGTTCAACATAATTCTTGGCAATATTGTGAGTTCGAGGCTAGCCTAGGGTACATGAGACCTATCTTAAATAAACAGCTAAGCTAGAAAATATCAAGAATATATCTTCTGGACCAGAACTGAGCAATAGAAATTTAAGAAACTTTACACACGTGGTTCAAAAATGTAGAAGCCACAGTTAAGGAGTGAAACTAGGCAGGCATGGTGGTGGTTCATGTGTGGAATCCCAACACATGGGATGCTGACACATGAGAATCGTCATGAGTATAAAACCAGCTTGGGTTGCATAGTGCCTTCCAGGACAGCCTGAGCTACAGAGCAGGACCATGTCTCAAAATAAGGCAAAGTACCTCCCTCACACCGACTCTGCCCTGCTCTTTCTTGGAGCAGAACTCTACAGATGCTAAACCAGTTATAGTCACTGTAACATCCCTTCTATACCCCTCATCATTATCTTTTCTTTAGGACCAATGGGATTCCCAGGGCCTCCAGGGCCACCTGGTTTTCCTGGGGCACCTGGAGAGAAGGGACTACCTGGCCCTCCAGGCAGAAAAGGACCCATAGGCCCTCCAGGTAAGCTTCTGATGACCATCATCTCCTAAGGCATGCCCAGATAGCCTCCCATTTAAGTAGTTACTATAAGGGTCAGTCTTCAGAAACCATTGCTCCAAGTTAAGCTCTTCTGATATAAAGAATGTATTTGTTTCAGACTGCCCCATCAAATCTCATGTCTGATATACTTTCAGAACAAATACATTTACTAATTAAGATCTGATGTCAGACATATTATTTATAAAGAAATAAATGTCTGTGTGCTTTTCACCCATGAGACAAAGGAGGCTCTGACTACTGTTAGGATTCTGTGTTTACTTCTTGCCCCCAGATTTCAATAGCTGTCTATTTTCTGAAAAGTACATTAGTTCCTATGGGATGGGAGGTCATTTGACCTAATTAGTATGTAGCCAGTACTTTGTAGCCATAATGATGAATTGGGAAGAGAAAGGACACACAGACATATGCATGTAAGGTGAGTGGAAGTACTGTGTTTAAAAATCCCCAAACAAGCTGGGCGGTGGTGGCCCATGTCTTTCGTCCTAGCACTTGGGAAGCAGAGGCAGGCGGATCTCTGTGAGTTTGAGGCCAGCCTGGTCTACAAGAGCTAGTTTCAGGACAGGCTCCAAAGCTATAGAGAAACCTTGTCTCGAAAAACCAAAAAATAAAATGAAATAATCACCAAACAGTATCCTAGATATGCAGTGATAATTCAGAATGTTTTGCAGTGTTTATGGCACAAACAGCACCCTACTTCATCAGGGGTCACAGTACAGCCTGACGGAGGGTTGGTACTGGGATTCTTCTTGCTTCCTTTCTGTGAGTATATCATCTATGAAACGTGACAAATGAATACAGAATTTTCAGAAGCCTTTTAGTGCCATAATTCCTATACACACTCGTTAGGGACACATTCGCCATAGAAAATCAGCCAGCATTGTCAGCTCCTCAAGAGAGCCTCATTTCAAGTCCTTGTGAAGATGAACACTCCATTAGTGCAAAATCATAACGGCTTCTGTCAATCACAATGATGCAGATGCTTTATGTAAATACGGCGCTGTCACTCTGCTTGTCACCGATGCTCCCTCAAATGATTATTTATGTTCTCAGCCACTGGTTTCACTTCTGTCCTCCCTCACAAATCTCAATTTTTCTCTTCACCACGTGAAAACCGTCGCCTCGCTTTGCATTTCTGCGTTGGATCTCTTCAGGCTGCAGAGGTAAGGGGTGCAGTGAAATGGATAATTTCCCCCGACTCTATTTGCTTGTCATGTCTGCGTTTACCCTTTCTGTTGTGTTTGTGAGTTAAACTGCTGCAATTTTGTGTAGATGGGGCTTCTGGCGTCATCGTTTTAACGTCTTGGCTTCTTTGCAGCCATAGTAAATCTCATCTTAGCGTCCTGGCGGTGGCCCTCGTTAGAAGGTGTCAAGGTGAGATGGGCACACAGCTCAGAATTCCAGCTCAGTTACAAGAGTTCAGCTCAGCAGAAGTTCTCTCATTGTTGGATGCCACAACCCACAATTGTGCAGCCCCTCTTAGGGTTCCTACAATGGAAACCTTTACAATGCCTCCAAAATGAGCCACATCAACATTACTAAAAGATAAGCCCTTAGACCCACAAAGACGCAAGTCCATTTTCAAGAACAAATTTATTTGTGTATTAGAAATAAAATGTTCACACAATAGTCTGTCACGCAGAAGCAATGTGTGATTTTGTATCTGGCATTTTCAAAGAGAATGAAAAAAAAAGGTCTCAAAAGGTGAAAAGCAGGAATGAGTGGTGGTGGTGGTGGTTCATGTATGAAATCCCAACACTGAGGCTGAGGCAGGAGGATTTACCATGTCTTCAAGGCTAGCCTGGGCTATAGAATGAGAACTTTTCTCAAAAGTCCACAAAAAAGGGGACTGCAGAGAGGGCTCAATAGCTAAGTAGCTAAGAACACTGGCTGCTCTTCCAGAGGACCAGGGTTTGATTCCCAGCATCCACATGGCAGCTCACAATTATTCTCAACTCTAATTCCAGGGAAGATGTTGATGTTGTTCTTCTGGCAAGCGTAGGCACCAGGCCTGTACATGGCTCATAGACATACATGCAGTCAAACACCACACAATACAATTAACAGAAAACTGTAAGCCCAATTCACTCCAAAAAACAAAAAGAGGAAAAAGAAATAAATTATGAAAATGTACACTTATTCTTTCCAAGTATTTGTTATTACCCCAAAGAAATTACCCTGAAAACAGACCCATAAATTACTTTAGGGATTTTAGAAGAGACGTGTTTACCTACCTTCTTTCAGCTCCTACATTATCAAAAGGTAAAGAAAAACTGGATGAAAACTTTTCTAAAAAATACTATTTTAAATATTCATAATTTAAAATTAAAGTGAGATGTTGAATTTTTATTTCTGCCCTCTCTGTGTGATAAGTTGATATTCATTTAAAGATAATATATCAGTCCTTACCTGAAGTCCAGTCAAAAGGGGGGCGAGGTGTCAAACCTCCGTAATACTAGCACTGGGCAGAATAAGGCAGGAAGATTGTTTGATCCAAAATGCCATTGACTATATAGCGAGATGCTCCCTCAAAAAGCCAAAACGACAACTAAAACAAACAACAGTGAGTCGGCCAAGCTCCCCTGACTTGGCCTCTTCTTGGAAAGGTCCAGTTTATCTCGGGGAAACAGGAGACATTCCTGTGTATCTCAGTAGCCTTGCGGCAAAGTCCAATTTTACATTAAACTGGACGTACTGTGAAAAGTTCTCTGGGCCTGTGTTGCTTATGATCTCATGCCATGTTTTATGAAAGATTCAGTTCCCAGCAGCTTAAAGACTTGAGGTCCATTCTGCAGAGGCACAGGGAGTATTGTGTGGCTCGCTACTCGGTGGTCATGGCCAGAGTTCCTCAGAGAGTCTTGTTCCTTGGTTCTTGCTATTTAAAGCCATTATGCAAGTTTGCATGAACTTTGAGAAAATTATAACTAACCAAATGGTGTGGTTTTCAACATTTCTTTAAATAGAATTTACTACACACATACTAAGAGTTCTTCGGCTATGGATGTAACCTAAGGGTTACATGTATCCATGGGTCCCGTCCACATCTCTCTCTCTCACACACACACACACACACACACACACACACACACACACACACACACACAGGGAGAGAAAGAGAGGGACAGACAGACAGATGGACAGAGACACAGACAGACAGAGACACAGACAGACAGACAGAGACATAGACAGACAGAGACAATAGAAACACAGACACAGAGAAATATAGAGACAGAGCAAGTTGAGGCAGAACCATAAGTTGATATGCTGGTTAGGAAGGTACATTTGGATCCACTGCCTTCTGGACTGTAGTTTGGACAATGTCTGGACTGTGTCATTATAAATATGTAACGTATCCCTGGGTTTTTCTTACCTGGGATAGTCTGAAAACACAGCCTGTGGCATGGTTGTCCGAGGAGCAGAGTGATGAAGCGCTCCACACAGGCCCTGATATACAAGGCCTTTGGTGTCTCTTCGCTGTTCTCAGTACTGCTCAGTGGCATTTCTAGCCCCCTTGGGATGTTCCAGAGTGACTGATTGAGGCTTTGGGGAGCAGCTTGTCTCGATACAAGCAGTATGTTAAGAGAGTGTCAGCCCCCCAGTGCCGTGGTCCTCCAGGTCAGAATGCTTGGTCAGCACGATTCACCTTGCTTGGGAACGTGCTAGAAATGCACAGTCAGAGTCTAGCTCAGATCTCCCAATTCAGAAATTGCTTTCTGACTTACTGGCAAATGGTTCCAATGTGCTGGTCTGCAGTCAGCTCTGTATTGGTGCTTCTCAGCACTAGCAGACACTGGAACCACCTGAAGAATTAAAATCATACCAAGCCTTGGGGTTCACGTCAGAAATTCCAGGTGTTGCATCCGCAAAATGATCGAAAATCCCTTGTAGCTGGGTTTATGAAGCCAGAAGTTGAGGGCACAGCGAGGCTGCCAAGTACCACAGTATTCTGGAGGGTGGCTGGTAACAGTCTACTTTGTTGCCCCTGTAGATAATTCCAACATTTATTCAAGATTGAAAAACCTCTGGCCATCTTGACTCACATAGAGGAAACCGATACTAGGTGAATCCACCTGGTTCCAGTATAATGAATTAGGAATACGCTAAGCCAACCTCTAGGGACCCCTAGTTCCTCTTGCAGTGAAGCTCACTAGTAAAATATGGAAAGGTTGAAAATCCCTTGAAGGACATCAAAGTATTGCTACCTCAGCCAAGAGTGAGTAGTCTCTATTTCTGCTCTCACTGGCTGTCCATCTCTGACTCCAGTAGTCGCTTAATCCGCCAAGGCTTTCTAGAAGGTTTGTGAGGGTCCCTGCAGGGAGCAGGGCAAGTTCCCACCATTGCAGAACTTACACTGGACTGTTGAAGATTCTTGTTAAGATTTTAGCGCCATGTCAGGAATCCATCCCTCACTGGAGAATGTAGAAGGAGCAGGTTCATAAGCATGGGAATCCATTTATACAGCAGTGATTCCAATTGCAGGTGAACCGGGGCCTCCTGCCGACCTGGATTCCTGTCCTCGGATCCCAGGACTTCCTGGAGTGCCAGGCCCCAGAGGACCAGAGGGAGCTGTAGGGCTTCCTGGAGAGAGAGGCCCCCCTGGACCAGGTATAAATTTCTTCTCTGAGTTCACTGTCAAAATAAAAACCTATGTGTTTTGTGATATTGTTTTTCAAGAAGAATCTAATCAACTTGCGGTGGCTAATCTGTGAAAACTTTCTTCCTTTACATTTTTGTGTGTCAACACAAACGGATTTGGATTCGAGTTCCACACAGTCTTCTTCTTCTTGTGTTGAACTCCTGCTTAAATCTTTTAGCTTTGCCCAGCTTTTGGAGGATGCATTTGGAAACCCCATAGCACTTCAGAGTAGGTGGCTTCATCTTGAATAGTAACAACAACAGCAACAAAAGCCCAAAACAGACAAAAAAAAAAAAAAAAAAAAAAAAAAAAAAAAAAAAAAAAAAAAAAAAAAAAAAAAAAAAAAAAAAAAAAGACTGAGTTGTGAACCAGTGGAGCAGAAACAGCTCATGAGACAAGAGAAGGACAGGACCCACTTGGACGATGGAGGAGAACAGGGCAAGTGGTTCTGAATTTTGGCAATGGCTGCACTGTGCCCAGAACTGACCTCATGAGCCCTGGTCAGTGACCATCAGGGTGGGAGAACCCTTGTTAGCACCAAAACCATACTGTGCTGGGAAACAGTAGTTTCCATAGAGTTTATTTTCTTCTTGTGGATCCTGTCCACGTTGGGTAATTTATACTGAGCTTGGTAGCGCTGGGCTCTGGAAAGCACAGCCCTCTTCGGACCCATTGTAGCATCATTGAGTTCAGCATCTGTGTGCGGAGAATCAGAAGGGAGGCTGGGAACCAACCCGTTTCTTGCTTCCTCCACAGCCTGGCTGTGACATGGTTCTTTCCAGTGCAGAGCCAAAGGGCCTGGAGGTAGAACTGAATGTTGTATTAGTTGGTTTCCTGCAACCCTAGAGACCGTAGCAGCCTGGGATCTGTTCTGCAAAGGGCCCCTCACCGTGTGGTGTTGCGGCGTGTCTTTGGCCTCTATCACTAAAAATGAATATTGGACCTCTACCTTGTGACAAGCAGAAATGATTCCAGATGTTAACACATGGCCCCCTGGTAGAAAGAGGCACCTAACACTGAGAACTGTTTGTGAGGGAGATGTATGGTTATCGGCAGTGGTAGCATCAGTCTCCAGGGAAGTTAAAAAACAAACAAACAAACAAACAAAACCTTATTGGGGGTAGGGAGATGACTTTGTTGATAAATTATTTCCTTCCTTCCTATTTCGCTTTTTGAAACAAGGTTTGTCTGTCTAGCTCTGGCTGTCCTGGAACTCTGCTCTATAGACCAGCTGGTCTTGTACTCACAGAGATCTGCCTGCCTCTGCCTCCTGAGGATTAAAGGCGTGAGCAGCAACCACACCAGCGTGGTAAAATACTTTCTGGATAAGCATGCGGAGCTCAGTTCTATCCTCCAGAACTCACTGGGTGCAGCCAGGGTGCCTATAACCCCAGTGCTGGGGAAAAAGACAACAGTAGGAACTCCGGAGCTAGCTACACAGCCAGACTAGGTGAGTCAGTAAGTGTCAGGTTCCACGAGACTCTGTCTAAAGATAAAGTAGAGGGTGATTGAGGAAGATGCTTGCCTCCAATCTCTGGTTTCTACATCAGTGTACACACACACACACACACACACACACACACACATATACATACACACACACACCTACACATGAATGTACATAACAAACACACACACACATCTATACATGAATATACATGAACACACACACACCTACACACAAGTGTTTATAAACACACACACACACACACCTACATACAAGTGTGTACTGGAACCCACATACACACACACCTACACATTCACACAAAACAGATTATAGGGATTTAAACAAGAAGAAAAAGAAAAGAAGGTAAACACAGTTTTAGGGGACACAGCTGGCTGTGTATCTGTCCCCTCTTCTTTCGGCACGGATCTAAAGAGCCCGTCTTCTCACACTGTTTTTGCAAACTGCAGATCTGAACATGCCATTAGTTCTGTGTCATTACATATTTCCCAACAATATTGTCTGCGGCGGCTGCAGAATATTGCATTGTTTGATTGTGCCATAATTCATCTAACCACCGCTCTCATGAATTATTTATCGATGGTTTTGGTGCCAGCACTCTGCGAGAAATAAATGAATCCAACAAGGCCGTGCTCTTGGAGCAACAGGAAAGGAAAAGAGAGGAACTGACACTAGGCTCCCATGTCTTGAAGGTCAGCAGGGGTAACCTGGAGATAGAGACAAGAGTGAGGGGGACATCTAAAGCCTGGAATTTCAAGCCTTCTGGGACTTCCAGATCCCTTCCTTCACCCCTCCTCCCTGGAGAGCTTTTAAAAACACACGTTGCTGGCCCCAGCCTAGATTTCCTGTCTTGTCAAATGCGGAGAGGGCTTCAAGATCCATTTTTCTAAGAGTTCTGAGCGCTGCTGTTCCGGGCCACCCTAAATGGACTTAAGGTGGTTTCATCTTTTCACTCTGATAAGCAGTTCCAAAAGCATGTCTGTCTGTCTGCGTGATGAATATTTCATACTGAGGCATCTCTGATTAGACCAGTAGGGAGTGTCATGGCTAGGAAGGGACACTCAGAACTTGACTACAGGTACTCTGCCCTGGCACGGTGTCCTCATGTCAAAGGCTGGTGATGAATTAGCTGTCATTGATGGTCTGACATCACCAAGTGACAGACTAAGTAGGAAATCTCTTTGTTATAGCTGCTGTAGGTATTGTTTCCTTACTACACGCACCTTGAGTGCCATTTCTTGTGTTAAGAGTTGACAGATGGAGGCTGGAGAGAGGATTCAGCTGTTCAGAGTACTCGCTGCTCACTTTTGAGGATCCGAGTTTAGATCCCAGCATCCACATTGGGCAGCTCACATACACCTGTAACTCTGGCTTTGAGGAATCCATGCACTCTTCTGCCTTCTGTGGACACCTGAATATGCATGTAACCCCCGCTCTCTCTCTCACACACACACATATGCATGTGTGTGTTAGCGCAAACACACATATGAACATAAAAAGGGAAGGTGGGTGTAAAACATTAAATTAGTTTCTAGAAAAAAGAACAGGCAGAAATAAGAACAAAAATTACAAAAAAGGAGCAGGAGAAACATACACTAGTCAGAAATACAGGGTTTTCCAAATATACCACCAAGTCCATTGCCAGAAAGAGCTGTAAACTTCGAAGTCTAGAAGCAGTCGTTACCAAAATGTGATTCCCCAATAACAGCAGCATCAGCACCATGTGGGAACGTGCCAGAAATGTGGATTCTCTGAACCTGGGCCAACCCATGGTGGTAGATGCTGATTTAAAGACAAATTTGAAGGCTGCTGTTCTGGACTCTTTTGGGTTTCTGCCTCAAAAGAAGAAGGCCCTGTGTGGCTGGGAATTGTTCAGGCCTGCTTCACAAGGAAGATTGGGGTCCAGGGTATTCCAGTCAGTTACTGGAGCAAAAGTTAAAAACCCAGCCAGGGCCTCAACTGGGGCAGTAGGGGTGCAGGTGAGGAGGGAGAGGGGCATCTTAGAGCAGTGCAGGGAAGGAAATGATGTCTGCCATCCCTGATATTGCTAGCTTTTCAGCCCCAGACCCCGGCATCTTTCTTCAGGGCTGGGTTGTGGTTGACGGCACAGGATTTGGACAATGTCTTCAGTGGATCCCTTTATTTCCTATGTTCTCCCCTGTCAACAGTAAAGCCCGCCTCTTCTCTAGGCCTGGGAGAGCATCTCTCAGCTTTGTCATCATGGTGTTAAGGAGGCAGGAGGCAAGAAGAAAGACCAGTAAAGTGACCCCCTCACTCTCCTAAGCAGGCAGGAGTTGCTGGTATTTGTGAGCCGCCCTGTATGGGTGCTGGGATCTGAACTCTGGTCGGTCCTCCTTTGGATGAACGGGCCAGTCTTAAACTATGTTTCAGTTTGCTCTGGTTGTCATAAGGAAAGAACAGAGCTACACAAATACTCCACCCCTCGGTTCTGGTGGACGAGTCTGACATCAAGGCAGCCATGGGTTTGGTGTCTTTTGAGGTTCCTTTCCTAATGGCAGCGTCTCCCTCTTCCTGTAAAGATCCAAGCCAGATTGGGTTTACCCACCATAACAGCCTTGTTATTGCCTTGATCATATCTTCAGAGACATCATTGCCAAATATAGACATTCTAAGGTCCTGGGAGTTAGGAATTCACTACAAATTTGGAAGAGAAGTGGCACACATCAGCCCGTAATGAGCTAATTTAAGGAAGGAGATAACTACTTGGGTCTAGAAACACAGAGAGGGATAGTAATTCAGCTAAGTGATTTAGCATAAACACCCACAAACATGATGAGCTGCTACCATGACCCCATCAAAACTACAGTTAAGGAACTGGAAAGAAGAAAAAGGAAGCCAAACTCTTAAAACACCCTGTACGACCAGTGCAGTTGTGCCAAGATCCACAAGGATGTACCTGCAGCTTGTCAAGAGGTGGGGCATGGAGGCTGAGGGACAGACACCATCTCTGCCTTTGCTCCCTGGCTAGTCCACGTGTGCACTCCATGCCTGCTGAGGTTTCTCTCTCTCTCTGGAGCAATTGTAGACTGGGCAGTACACGGCCTCTATGAAGATTCAGTTGATAATTCACCTGAAGGAGTTAACTGAAAACCAGCACATCCTAAACCCTGATGAAAACTATTCTTAAAAACTGAACCCTAAGCTCGGTGTGGCAGCACATGCCTTTAATTGCAGCATTTGGGAGGCTGAAGCAGGCAGATCTCTGCGTATGAGGCCAGCCTGGTCTACAGAGCAAGTTCCAGGACAACCAGAGCTACACACAGAAACCCTCTGTCTACAAAACCAAACAATCAACCAACCAACTAACCAACCAAACAAACACAACCAACAAAAATGAATCCTGTTAAATATGACTCGCACTTTCATCCAGATTTTTTAAAACATCATCCCGAAAGAATGTTTGATTATAAAACTAATACTTGTTCAATATCTTCTAAAAGCAACAACAACACTAACAATAAAATGAAGAAAATAAAATAACATTTCTCTCAACACCTCCCTGGTCTAGGGTTAGCCCTTTACCAGGTCATGGTGGAACCAATGTCAATTTGCCATACCTTTCAGAACCTCAGTGTCCCCAGTTGCTTGGGGAGGTCATAAGCTGATGTCATGCACTTGCGCAGATTCTATATCATCCAAGAGGGGAAGAACCCAGAGGCAGTTCATGGGATGTACATGCTGAAGTTTTCCCTACCATCACCATGAACTTTCCCACAGGGTGCAAAGGAGAGCCTGGGCCAGATGGCAGGAGGGGCCAGGATGGTTTCCCTGGATCTCCTGGGCCCCCAGGACACAAAGGCGACACTGGAGAGGCTGGCTGCCCCGGAGCACCAGGTAGAGTTTCCCTCGCTTCCCTTTTCTGGGACATTGCAGTTCTCACTCTCAGCTGCGTCTAAAGCGGGTGCACAAATGGATTTCCCTTGGATACGAGCTCTGCAAGCATCCAAGGGATGTTCATGTTTTCTATTTTATATCAATATATTCCAGTCACCAGGGAGGTGTTTTTATCCTGAGTAACCATAGTGAGGGGTTTCTAAGACACCCCTACTCCATGCAGAGGAGTTGTGTTCTGTGAACTACAGACAAACAAAGGGTGCAGTTTGAGAGGCAGGATGTGTCCTGCTCCCTCTGCTTCATGATGCTAATGCTGAGACTAGAAAACACTTATTAAATGGAATGCCCCCCTTTTCCTTTCTTTCTGCAGGCCCTCCTGGTTCGATTGGTGATCCTGGGCCCAAGGGGTTTGGCCCTGGATACCTCAGTGGCTTTCTCCTTGTTCTCCACAGTCAGACAGATCAAGAACCCGCCTGCCCTATGGGTATGCCCCAGCTTTGGACTGGGTACAGCCTGTTATACATGGAAGGACAGGAGAAGGCACACAATCAAGATCTCGGTATGGATTCACCAAGACAGATGCTGTCACGTGCTATACAGGGCCACCCACACTATGGTCCAGAGAGCAAAACCATGGTGTTAACCTTACAGATGCATCAACTTCTTAACCACTAATCTTCTATGGCAATACTACTTAAGAACAAAGCAACCCTCTCGTGCTAATTCCCATGGTCCTGTTACTATCACTGAGCCTCATTCTGGTGACTGGTTATTACCTGCCTGCTGAGTACTCACTTTAATTTTAATTGACACAGGCTTTCACTATGCAGCGCTGGTTGACCTGGAACTGTGTAGACCAGGCTGGCCTCAAACTCACAGAAACCAACCTGCCTCTGCTTTCTAAGTGCTGAAAATAAAGATGTGAGGCACCACAGGCATGGGGCATCACAGACAGGGACACAGACTTGGGCTGGAAATGGAGACTGCTCATTCATGTTCTAGTTGCTCAGACCGAATAATCACACAGACACTATATTAATTACAATACTGCTTGGCCTGTGCCTTAGGCATATTACTAGCTAGTTCATATCTTTTTTTTAAAATTGTTTTTATTGAGCCATATATTTTTTTCTCTGTTCCCCTCTCTACTCACATCCCTTTTACCCTCCCATGGTCCCTATGCTCCCAGTTTACTCAGGAGATCTTGTCTTTTTCTACTTCCCATGTAGATTAGATCAATGTATGTCTCCCTTAGGGTCCTCTTTGTTGTCTAGGTTCTCTGGGATTGTAGACTGGTTTTCTTTGCTTTATGTCCAAAAGCCACTTATGAGTGAGTACATATTACATTTGCCTTTCTGGATCTCGGTTACCTCGCGCAGTATGATGTTTTCTAGCTCCATCCATTTGCCTGCAAATCTCAAGATGTTATTATTTTTTTCTGATGTGTACTCCATTGTGTAAATATACCACATTTTCCTTATCCATTTTTCAGTCAATGGGCATTTAGGCTGTTTCCAGGTTTTGGTTATGACAAACAATGCTCCTATAAACATAGTTGAGCATCCTTTGGGGATATACCCAAAAGTGGTATTGCTAGGTCTTGAGGTAGGTTGTTTCCTAATATTCTGAAAAATCGCCATACAGATATCCAAAGGGGCTGTACCAGTTTGCATTCCCACCAGCAATTGTAGAGTGTTCCCTTTACCCCATATCCTCTCCAGCATGAGCTATCATGAGCACTTTTGATCTTGGCCATTCTTATAGGTGTAAGATGGAATCTCAGAGCCAAGTTAAACCGAATTAATAAATGCAGATTTAATAAACAGGGCAAGGCAAAGCAGAGCACTCCTGGGTGGCCTCAGGAAGGCAGGAGACAGAACACAAGAGTATATATGGTAGATCTGTGGACTGGGTCTTAAATAGTCTGTAGGCAGTCTTGAGACCATCCAGAGGAGGAGCTGCTGATGGTGGGCTTTCTCAGGGGCGGGGTCTGGAATGGGAGGAGTGGGACTGGGTGGAGCTTCCCTACACACAGGTTGTAGCAAATGTCTATAAACGCCACCTGTGGAAGTTACTGGCCACTTTGCACACAGCAGGCTGCTCATAGACTGTGTATCTTCTTCTTTCTAAGGTTTGGCGGGGTCTTGTCTTCCCGTGTTTAGCACACTACCCTTTGCCTACTGCAACATTCACCAAGTGTGCCACTATGCCCAGAGAAATGACAGGTCCTACTGGTTGGCTAGTGCAGCTCCTCTTCCCATGATGCCACTCTTGGAGGAAGAGATCCGCCCTTACATCAGCCGCTGTGCCGTGTGTGAGGCCCCAGCCCAGGCAGTGGCCGTCCATAGTCAGGACCAATCCATTCCACCGTGTCCACGTGGGTGGAGGAGCCTTTGGAACGGATACTCATTCCTGATGGTGAGTCTCCTATCCTTGAATCTTATACCTGTCTAGATGGTAGTTCTGTGTACTGTGTAGACACCAGAGGACATAGTCCAGGCCAGTGCGGACTATAGACCGCTGAGCTACAAGGCCTTCACTATTATTTTTAATTTTTTCTCGTTAACTATTCTTTGGTAAGTTTGGTAGAAGATGGATTTACTTTAGCCGTCAGTGAAGTTGGCTCCATTTTACATAGTCACCCCAAACACTTCTTAGTGCACCTCGGCAGAGTGATGTAAAAATTTTCAAAGCGGAACTAGAGCCAGGTGTGTCTGACTGGCTGAGCCTTAACTCTTCATTTTTGTCTGGGTAGCACACTGGAGCTGGGGACCAAGGAGGAGGGCAGGCCCTCGTGTCACCTGGCAGCTGCCTAGAAGACTTCAGAGCTGCACCATTCCTTGAATGCCAGGGCCGACAGGGAACCTGTCACTTTTTTGCCAATAAATACAGCTTCTGGCTGACCACGGTGAGCCCAGACCAGCAGTTTTCCTCTAGCCCGTCACCAGACACCTTGAAAGACATTCAGGCCCAGCGCCGGAAAATCAGCCGGTGCCAGGTCTGCCTGCGAATTCAAAACAGCTAGAGGACTCAAAACATGCAAAGGGTCATCAAGAGAGACTTCCGTGGAGGAAAAGATGCCCCAACTACTGTAGCAAATTCGGTGGTGCTCTCTCCGGCTCCATCAGCCACGCCCTGTCTCAGCGTGCGCCCTGTCTCAGCGTGGCTCCTCCAGGGGCCCTCCTTCTCCTGCTACAGCTCAAGTGAACGCTGCACACGTGGATTTGTTTGACCCCCACCAATCCAGATGAAACTGACACATTCCCCTTTTATTGAGAAGATGGAAGAACAGGCTTTATTTGAACATGTGTTAATTCCCAGAAAAGCAAGTGAATGACAAAGACCAGATTATAAACAACTGAAGAGTTCCTTCATTGGTTGATAGCGTTTCAGACAACTGAAGTCAATTATTCTGTAATCCATTGGGCTTCTGGCTAGATTTTGCAGGAACAATATAAATAGGCCAACAAATGAAGCTATGTAGCAGAGATTTTCAATGTTTCAAAAATGATTTCCTCTCTAATCTATTATAATCTAGCCTTTTTAGCCATGCACTTTAAATAATTGTGGGACCATGGCCCAAAGAGGTTTTGAAAAAGGAGGAAGAAAGGAAAAACAGCCTCTCTACACTAGCAGTTCATTTCAAAGCAGAATGAGTCATTTTGCCAGGAAAGCCTGCCGTCCTGTATTCCAGGGCCTCGACATTAGCATAAACACTTCACCGACGAATATAAAACATTATGTTCTCTCCTGCATTTTACAGAGAATAGAAATGCCTTCTCTGGCAACCCTTTTGAAAAGTAGCAATTATAGAAAAAATATATTCAATAAGGGATTAGGAGCCTAAAAGCTATTAATGAATATTAAGGTAGTGATTCACAAAAATCGACTCCCCATCCCAGGGAACATGCAAACAGACTACTTTTCCCCAGTCGGGGGCCCAGAGTGTCCTTCTGCTAATGGCACTGAAGCCACATGGGGTTTACTCAGGCAATCCGGAGGCTGGTACAAAGCCTCTGGCTCTCCTCCCCAGGAGAAACTGCGAGGCTCCTCCTCCACACGCATAATGGCAACTGGCTCCTGAAGTGACAGGGCTATCATTATGCACTTGGGAGAAAATTAAGGGCTGGCTTAATTAAACTTAGGTAAGAAGATTCATTTATGTCAGGGTCACCCCACCAGGAAGGCGCGGGGCTCTCTTGAACAGAAACAAAGACGATATCCAGTCTGAATTTTGAGCTCCTGTGATTTTTTTTTTTATGGGAGCATCCGTTTCGCCAATTTTCAAACATTCTTTATATTGTATTAGCATCATGGCAAGACAGCTGTTTGACGCTGGACCTTAGCAGCTCCTGCACACGGGCAAGATCCATGTCAATTTGCAGTGATTTTTCTCCATACCAAAGGGTCTGTTGGCTACTTAGTCAAGGACGGCTACAAATCACAAATAGAAAGTCTTGCTAGAAAAGACTTTATTTTATTATTATTTTTGAAACTAACCTTCCCCAGCTAGAGAAAAATTGGCATTTTAATAGAAGAAAGGACTTACCCCTGAGGGTGACACTCATGTCAGAGCTCACTTTTCAGGGTACTTAAGAATAATTGAGAGAAAAACTCAATTAAAATTTTGTTTCCGGGCCTGGAGAGATGGCTCAGTAGTTAAGAGCACTTATGGTTCTCATGGAGGATCTGAGTTCAGTTCCTAGCACCCAGGTCAGGTGGCTCGTGGTCACCTAACTCCAGTTCCTTTTCTAGCCTACGTGGGTACTCCTGTACACATACAAATACCCACCCACAGACACATACTCACACACACAATTGAAAACAAAGGTAAACAGGAAGGCATTTCTAAGATGTGTTTTTCTTGCCATCCTTTGATCAATGGCGGGCTCCGTTATGCAGAATACATTTAGTGTTTTTGTTGTAGGCTCCCTGTGGGGTGGCCGCTTAAGAGAACTTTCTGGTCAATAATGTCTATTTTATTTTATTCTTTCTAAAGCTGCTAGTGCCTCAGTCTGGAGTCCAACTTGGCCTGGGACTCACTACAAAACTCCACGCTGGCTTCAAAATCTTGGCAATTTCCTGGAGATTCCAATGTGCTAGGAGTTCAGCCTTTTTTCTTTTTTTCCTTTGTTCTTTTTCTGTCTTTCTTTTTTTTTTTTTAAATAAAAAAACCTGGTGTTTTTGTTTTGTTATTGAAGACATGGTTGACATTATTTCATCCTAGTCTGGAATTCACTATGTAACCAGGGCTGAACATCTCTATTTTAACATGAAATATTTTCTTAATGTAGCAGAATATTTCCTATTGACCTATTTGATTTTGAGTTCATGCTATCCGTGTTGAATATTTTGAGTGTCTGAAATTGAAGTCCACTTCTTTTTTATTTGCATTACTCATGTGTTTCCAGGATCCCCAAACCAGGCCTCCTGATAGTTCATGATGAACTTGGTCTGAGAACAGGTTCCAGGAAGAGGTGAAGCATTAGAACACATGTCAAATCCTTCCACTTTGCCGTTAGGATATTAACACTCTTCATAAATAACTTAGGACTGGCTGAATCAGGAGGGCAGTTTAGCTCCCTGAGAGAGAAGCCATGAGGCAAGTCCAAGTATAGATTCCACATCCCCCCTCTGACTATGGCATGGATTGGAAATGTATTTTGAAATGGTCCAAAGGGGCAAAACAATAAGGAAAACATTCTTGGGACAGAAGAGAGTGTTATTTTAAAGTTATTATTTCTCTTTCCACCTGGCTATATCTCAATGTTTTTGGAACAGCGTTGCTCAGAGCAGAACACGAACAAAGCTTTGTAGTTATCCTAAGCTATTACTGTGATGGTCTTATCTAAACCTCCTTTTTAGGAGCTCTGCCCTTGTCTAGCTGGAATGTGCATAGATCCCTAATGGGAATTACTTGGAGGCCCCGTACCAGAACATGCACTGGGTGTTTCTTTCTGGGTCTTCATTCTTGGTAAGCGGAACCTCTCCATCAGGCAGGTGTCCATGCTGCCTGTGGTCTCTTCCCCAGGCTGAAACATCATCATTTTTGTGGGAGCTACTACCCCCTCCACACTCCCTGCATCACACACAGCTTTCCACCTAGCCTCTCGCAGGAGATAGCTCCAGTCTGGAAACCCAGCCATCCTCTACATTCCACCCAAATTAGATTTTGTTATCTTTTGGCTTAAAATCCACAATGACCACACCGCCTATGAAGTCCAAATGACTTCACAGGGGGCGAAAGTCCATCGTGAACTGTGAGGCTTGTGTCTGCGAGCATCTCTTGTGAGCATCTCTCGTTAGCCTGAACTGCACACAGATCTGCAAAACATTCACATTTCTTTGTGTCTCTGGTTCCTCTTTCTACCATTGATGCTCTCCCTTGGGTCCATTGGCTTGGTAGAAACACGTTTATCCTAGCACAGTAGACTAGTGTAGGTGTATGAATTTTCCAGAGACTTGGGGGGCTCTCTGCTCTCCCTCTCCATTCTCTAATATCTTAGCACACCCCTTTCGTTCCCTGGTTAAATATTGAAGCCCTTGTGGGACAGGGACCATGCTTTGCTTGTCTTCAGTTGTCCACTGTTAGCATATGAATGTGCCTATTATTGACTCAACTCTGTCATTCAGTGACAGTGTTCTATACCTTATTAAACCTCTGATGTTCAGCTCTGTAGATATCATTGCTAAGAGGGTGCCCAGCATAATAAGTCTTTCTTACTTCAGAATATCAAAACGGTAAACACCCACACACCCACAAAGCTCTTACTACAATTATCAACACAACGCCAGTCAACCAGCACTGACCCTTTCTAATTACTTCTCTATGAGCTGAAATCAGAAATGAGAATTTGCTCAGAGATTTGGCAGAAAGAAGAACCTTCACTGAAATAGCACGACGGCTCAGGCTGCAATCTGTATTCCCTCACGATTTAACGACTTCTTGGTACCAAGTTGCATCTCCGAAGTCCGTGTATGTTTTGAGTGCTAAGAAAAAGTCAGCAGAATACTCAGGAGACTTGGACTTCACCGAAGAGTTCCTTTTGCACTTCCTGCAGGTTACCGCAAAACGGACGGCTCTCCTTTGGGATCAAAGGTCCTACCGGACCACTGGAATAGTTTAACAACTGTCTCTTTTATTTGGTATAGCTGGCTGTAAGAAGCGTGGGAAAAGGAGGACTTCTGGTTGGACCCAGGTTTCAGTCCAGATGTGTCCCTTCCCATTCTGTTGTCATGGGTGATTTCTGCTAAGTTTCCCTCATCTATAAGTTAGGACATTACACTCATGTTGAAAATTAAAGTTGGATTATTACATACCTAGTGCATAGCAGCCACCATGCACCAATTATCGTCACATCGTCTATTTAAAATAAGGTATTCAATATGAAAACTATTTCTTGTGTTACCCCCCCAAAAAAAACACACACACACAACAAAATTACACGTTGATCCTCCCAGAACATATAAATTACTAGCTAGAATTAATCATACCTAGCCAGCTCTTAACATCTTTGGGAATGTTTCTTTATTTCAGTTCTTGGTTATTGTACCACAAAAAGTTATCACAATTTCCTGCGGGGACATTATGAGTAAGGTATGAAGGGACCAAACAATTGACATCAAAAAAGTCAGCATTCTACAATTCTGCTATCCACAGGAAACTGCATAACGCAGTTAAAGCAGGGCGCCTAGCTGCCACATCCATGGGAAATGCTTGAACCTTATGGTGCTTAAATATTTAATGATTCACTGGGAAGATGTGAAACACACTTGATAAACTGCATCACTTTCTCTAGCCTATCGTTTTCGAGTAAGAAATTTTGATCATGCAACTTTTGCAAGATGCCCGATCTACTGTTGACCTATAAATATTTGCTGTATTGTCACTTAAGATATGGCTCATTATATATAAAATTGTGTGATGGCTTCCAAAACCACTGTCTTGATGAATGTATTTTCTTTTAAACCAAAGTGGGTTTCCTTTTATGTGCTCTATAGGCAGATGTGTGTATGTGCATGTATGATGTTGTGTGTTAAGTGTGTGTGTTGTGCATATGTAGGCTAGAGGCCCTAAATTGTTGCTCCTCGGGTGCCATCCACCTTGTTTTTTGTTTTTTGTTTTTTTTTTTTTTTGGATAGCATCTTCATGGATCTGATATTCACCAAGTAGGCTAGCTGGCTGGCCAGGAGCCCCAGGTACCCACCTGTTTCTGTGTCCTCAACCCTGGGATTACATGCATATACCACCAGGCCTGGCTTTCTTTATTTAATGTGGATTTTGGAAGGCTTAACTCATCCTCAAGTACTCAAGGCAAACACTGACTGAGCTACCACCCCAGCACCATGCCCATCTTCATTTTAAATTTACCTTATAGTGTGGTCTGTCCTTAGAACTGGCTGAGTCGGGAACATAAGTTTGCCAGAAGGAAGAGCCAAGGCTGGGGAAAGTGAGATTTTGAGGCTATATGAAGCATACTTCTCTATTCAGTGTTGGGTGGAGAAAAAAAAAAAAAAGAAAACCAGGCCTCAGGCAAGAGGGTCGAATCAATCACAGGTGAGGGGCAGTATGAGTCTCAGCCCTAATAGGCCTGAGTTGTCATGTGAGTTAAACTAGACGAGGCTGCCTACTTCCAGGACTATTTGAAAGGCTGAGGTGTGAAGGCCAACTGAGGAGACACGCACAGTTAGATACTGGGACTTGTAACTTCCTGTGCTAGCGAGCTTCTCATCGCTGACATCAAACGCCTGAGAGAAACAATTGAGAATGAGAGTTTATTTGAACTCAGCTTCCGTTGGAGCTTTGCTGGATTAACTGAGGTGTACAGCGGAATCTCACGCTGTGGGAGCAAGGAGCAGAGGCTGCTCGCCTCATGGTGGCCAGGAAACAGACTGAGAGCGACCAAGAGTGGCCCAGAGCAGCAAAGCCTCCAAGCACAGGCCTGCTCACTCCAACTAGGCTCCACCTCTGAAAATCACCGCTTCTCATTAGCATCACAAGGCTTCAACACATCAGCCTGAAGGGTGACGGGGCGAGCACACGGGGTACTTCATATCCAAACCACAACAGTTCGTGCTGCTGGACATGGGTATTCTTGTTAAAAGTGGGGGATATTTAAAATGGGTGATACAATGCTCCTCTGGTCTCAGAAAAGCCAGTTTGCTGTAGAACGCAAAATGAGAGTGGAAGTGGCTTGGTTGGTAAGGATCTGAGTTTGGATTCCCAACACCTATGGACAATCAGGCTTGGAGAGGTACTGTCCATACAGACCTAGCACAGAGAGGGGTGGGGTCAGGTGGATCCCTGGACTCTCAGGATCAGTGTCTAAAGAGAACTTGTGCCAAAAAATGTCAGGGTACTGGGGCCTGGAGAAATGGCTAGGTGGTTAAGGCTAGCAGCTGCTCATTCAGAAAACTGGAATTTGTTCACGGCACCCATGTCGGGCAGCTCACAGTCTCAGGGGATCCAATAGCCTCTTCTGGCTCCTCTGGGCACGCGCGCGTGCGCGCGCACACACACACACACACACACACACACACACACACACACACGAGTTTGAGAAGCACTTTGGTTTACCACCTGTCATTATAGGGATGAGCGTCTTTTCATTTCGGTCTTCAAGTATCTCCTGAAATGCTCCGACATTTCAAAACACTGCTGAAGGCACCGCGAGGAAAAAGAGAAACGTGACTATACTCTCCCAGGTCCTGCCCTCGGAAGGAAGATGTACTCTCACGGCACAATCAGTATTGCCAAGTTAACGTGTGGCTATCAAGAGATGCAGACTAAACAAAACAGCAGGTCTGCGATGTGAGCTGTGGTCTCTAGGAAAGGCCTCAACTTGGCGACAGAATGTGGAGGACAGAATGGGCTGAGGGAGAGGAGATGCCAATCCAATAATGAAGAGATCCCAGTATGAGACGCATTCGCAGCCTGGATGAGAAGACCAGTGAGCAAGCTGTTAGGAACACATGGGCCGAGGTCCAAAGCTGCTGGGAGCCCGGTTGTTGAGGTTAATGGCTCTGACCTTTACCATGTGTCCACAGACAAACAATAAAAGATATTTGAGATGATGAGTGGTACGGCTAAAATGGGTTTTGGAAGCCCAACTGGCATTGGTATGTCGAGTTGAGTGAAGACATATTTTAAATATTGAGCAGAGCAATGAATCGAGAGGCTTCAAGGTCCTTCAGAGCTGA